GTTAAGGGTAATCCACCCCTAAATTTTTTTTTCAATTTTAGATTTTTTCCTTTTTTGAATTTTTTTATGATACAGCATTAGTAAATACACATAACCCTGAATTTTCACCCTTCTACCACCAGCCCCTATTTTTAAGGCGGTACGAAGTTCGCTGGGTCAGCTAGTATATATATATATATAGTTTGAGTCCCGAAAAGGACATAGGACAGTTTTTCACAGAAATCATCCTTTATGAGGGTGAAAAACAACAAACAACACAACTTTATTTAATTGTTTCAGGTTTAACATTTCATCCCTATCCACTTCAACCTGAGAACAAAGATGATCTGTGCTAAAACGAACGTACCCAGGAGGAGCATAATATTCATTAATGGTTTTATAAAGAGTCATATTTGAGAAGAGTTTGGTGCGAAGGGAAGGAACAGCCACACTGAAGGGATAGTAATCTGCAGTGCGTATGCCCGAGAAGGAAAGTGAAATGAGTTCATGTAACTCCTGAGCAAACTTCCTGAAGTAAAAAACATATAGGCAGACAACTTTGCTGCAGTCCAGCAGTAAGCATCCCTCGGCTGATAATAATCATAAAACCCATGATTTTTATGACGTCATTGTTTTCTGAAAGTTAGAAAATCAAATACTAATGGCACGTACGAACATGGGTTTTATAGCTTTATCATAGACTTATCCTATATCTATGAGCTTATGATATGGAAGAAAATAAACCCATTCACGTAAAACACCAAAATACAACCACTCCGCGATTCAAAAATGAATCGGCGCCATCGGTCACTAAGCGTACAAGATACGACCTTAAACAACATAATTATACAAGACTTCAAAGTAAGGGTGCGATAGTGCGTTGTTTGTTACGTTGAGTAGAAGCATGTAAATAGGCAAGCACTCAAACTGTACGAAGATGAGCGGTCCAGCGCTAAGACGAGTAGGCGTTCCTGACTGAAGTTGATCCGAGTGGAGATGAACGGAGCGGAGCTACGAGTGTGGACCAGAGCTGAGCAGAGTTCTGAACACATTCTAATTGCATTTCAGTTAAATGGTGTCTGACAGAGAGATAGGACGCAACTTATTGTAGAATATTATTCTAAAGTCCTCTACGCACTATCCATCTTGCTAGAGCCAGAATCCTGGATCCCCATCTCTTTTACGTGAATAGTGCTGTGCTGTAGGACTAAGGGACGCAATGTGTTCTATTCGACCAAACTAAAGGAAAGTTCCACTCCACCCATCCTTACTCCACCTCGCACAGAGCACTGAGTTCAATGTCTGCAATTCCGCCACGGTGCTTCCAGGCATCCCCCTGACCTCAAAGAGGAGGAGGAGCCCCTGCCGGGGGTAATGTGGAGACTCTCAGGATCCCACTCCAGCAGGCGAGGAAGCACTGCTGTTGCTAGTATTGGATTAGTAGTGAGTCCGGCTCAAGCTGGCTCAGGCTGCTCGGAACTCGGGGGGGCTCCCCGTCGTTCCGAGCAGCCTGAGCCAGTCCTATGATCTCGCTGAGCTGGTGGGCGGAATTTGGGGGAAGCAGGAGCCCCACTTATCCCCGTCTCTCAGTTAGGGGCGGGGAAAGCATTACGCATTTTCCCAACAATAAAAAAAAAACTAGGCAGGCCACTCTTAGTGCCGCATGCCCTTGTGTACCGCTGCGCCTCGCCTAACATGACAAGCAAACAATGCTCCGTTTTGTCCTGCTACACTCCGCGCGTTTATAATTTTTAATGTAATCTCAAATCCACTAATGCTGTTTTCCACTGAAGCGGAGGATGAGTTGCGAGATTTTGAGTAAAGCTATTGGTCCATTTCTTTACTGGTCAGCTCCGCTTGTATAGAAACGCAGTCTAATTTTATGTTTTACAAATAATATGAATCTGTTAACTACAAATGTTATTTGTAGGTATGTTGATTTAGTCATATGGGTCTGGTAATATTTATTTATTTGTACCCATGGACGTATAAAAAAAGGCGGACAGAGTTTCGGCTAAGACAATACTGAGGCACCGTAATGGCGGCGGCTATTGATGAGTGAGTGAATTGTAGGGTTGCTAGGTTAGCCAATTTTTTACCAATAAAACACAGTAAAAACATGAAAATATTTTTGGCCGACTGCGGAGGATAATGTTTTTCGAGCGTATGCATGCATGTATGTATGTATGTCCAATAATTTGGCACGTCCTACAGCCTGAACGTCTTGACGGATTTTGACATGCGAGGTGTCATTTGATTTGTCATGATTGTGTGAGTGGCACTCGGTATATTAAAATTTCACAAAACCAAAATGACAGATCTTATGCGCCAAAATGAAACATTTTGAAAAAAAAGTATAAGTATTTTTATAACCCGTCAAGCGAGGTATTAAAAGTATATTTAGAAAATATACAACTCGTGTAATAAAAAAATAACGAAATTTAAATGTCAAAAATAAAAATAAAATGTACTAAAAAGAAAAAAACAAGTCCAGTAGTCTAGAATTCTGTTTAATAAGAAACAAAGTTACTTTAACAGTCGGGACTCATTAGAAATTCTAGAATGTATCGAATTTTCTCAATATTGGGTAAATAAACTAAATATACATGGCCTGGCCTGCATTCTCTTTCATATTTCTTAAAATAAACTAACACCCATTGAGTACTGTTTGTAATTGAGGAGTTCCATTGTTTTCCTCCGAAAGTACTCATCAGATCTCCAGTAAATTAATATGCAGCCATCTCGCTAGTAAACTGATTAAAACAAAAAAATAATCATCATAAACGGTTCACGAATCTCGGAGATCTGCGCGAACAACAATAAAAAAAAACAAATATGACGCATTGCGAACCTCTTTCTTTTCGAAGTCGGTTAAAAATTTTAATCAACCTTTTGAGGTAATGCATACGTAATAACACGCCGGAGTCCTCCTTTAGTTGTATATAAGTCTTGAACTTCAAAATGAAGACTAAAAATGATACTACTACATATTTGTTTGGAAATCATTCATTTTCCAGTAATTTCTCCATACTACATTTTCTTTAGGAAATCTGATAAAAAAGGATAATAAATAATAGATTGAAGTTAATGTCAACCCAATTTCCCATATTTAAGGTAATATGGTTACATGAACATTGGCAACACTGGGCTTTAGACTAATCATTTAGTCCTTAGAATTAAAATTGATTTCGATTTCTAAAAACTAGAAAACAGTGATTCAATTATACATTTACCTATGAAACGTGATTCCTGGATATTTTTCTTTCGATCACTACGGTTTTTACACCTTTTTACAAGCAAGATATCTTGTTTAGCTTATTTTTTATCTCCACGAAACGTGTCGGCTGCTTTGACGTTTGCACGCGTAGTGGCTGACTATTGTGTGAATGTGTGCGTGCCGGCTTGTACGTACAATACAACGACCTGGCCGACTCTGAGCGACACAGTTTATTGTTTAGCGGGACTCTGTCCGCCTTTTTTTATAAGTCCATGTTTGTACCTATGAGATATTATTGTAGTTATCTTAGACAAAGTATCTAATCACCAACACTTCGTAGTATTAATAAAGCTATGCCGGCCTATTCGCTAACTTTTTTGATATTTACAGTGAGTAACTAAAGAGAAAATTGCATATCCATCGATGCTTTTCAGAACCTTAGTGGCCATCTTAGTAAGTAAAAGTAAGATGCCACACTTGCTCAAACGTCGCGCATTCACTCAATTTGTTCTTCCTGTCCTAACTTATGGAGCCGAAACCTGGACTATGACAAGGCAACATGTCCATACCATGCAAGTGGAAAAATCAAGCGTGCCATGCTCGGTATGTCCTTGAGAGATCGTGTATGCAATGAGAACATGCGGAAAAGAATAAATTACCCGACATTGCTTGCGAACTCGCAGGGAATAAGTGGAGGTGGGCAGATCACGTGGCTCGCAGAACAGACGACAGGTGGAGTCTAGTTATTTTGGCGACCCAGAACAGGACTCAGAAACGTAGTCCGCCAGATAGCTAACATCGTCAAAGCAGCAGGAAGAAATCCGGACCGCACAACACCGAGCAAATTGACGCACCATGGAGGAGGCCTATATCTACCTAGCACTCCTAGCAGTGGGTAGATAAAGGTTGATGAAGAATTATGTATTAGGTATCACAATATGCAAAGAAACGTCATATGGTATATTACCTTAGATTAAAACAAAAAGGGAAGATACGGTACGCATCAAATAAAATATGTTCCGACTCAACTGCATAAGCAAGTATCACACTCGCGCACGTCTGTTGAAAAGTGTTGCCGAGGCATTTGTTTTTGAACTATTTGTGTCCTTTACATTATCATAGGAAATCAGAGCTTTAAGGCTGGGTTTACAAAGTCTGAATCAGAATGACAAATTCATAATTTGAAATTATCAAATTATGTGTGAAATGTGCAGTAAAATTGTATGCAATTCCGTATACTCTGAACTAATAAAAATGAATTTATATTATGAATCCAGATTCTGAGTCAGACTGCGTAAGGCAAAAAATAGTTTCTCATACAGACTTCCACCTCCACATTTCTGAGATCAAAACATTCCTAAGTCCATTTCTAAACCAGGTCAGTGCTTTAAGCGTAAAGAGGTAAAGTAGTGTGGATAGATGCATACATGCGTTGAAGTTAGCAGCTGGTGCGTTGTATGTTTTTATTGAATTGAATTTTCAGGTCAATATAAGACACGAGGTAGGTACATAGGTACTTCAACTTATTCATGAAGTTGTTTTGATGCATATTTATATGTTGCCATACATCAAGTTATCACATATTGTTTCCTCAATAGATTATGAATCTTCATAATCAGCCTATTAATGTCCCCACTGCTGTGGCACAGGCCCTCCTTAAGGATGCAATTAGGAGATTGGGCCCAGTGCGGATTGGCGAGTGTTAACGACTGCAGATTCTTATGAATCTTATGGCGATCGTAATAAAGCTCGAAATGAGGAGAAATCTGTAGGAGGAAATCAAAACGAAAAAGGCAGACATATTCTTACCAACATTTTATTTATAAAACATGACTACATACAATCACCCCAAACCATGTGCATTTTTTTATGTATACATTAGTGTCACCAGCATTCCATCAATAACCTTCTCGATTCACAAATATAAAAATACACCATCGTGATTAAACCAAAAGGGCCTACATTTCATATAAAAGGAATGATACCTCAAAATAAAATTGTGACAAACGAAAAAGTTCCACGTATCTTTCAGTCAGTGTCTTCATAAAACCAATAGCTATCATGATAAATAATTTGTTAAAAACATTACTGGTCATCTTACATATTATAATATTGAATTCCTTACAAACATCTTACGAAATCTAACATAAACAACCTTAACTTAAATTGGACCGAAATTCTTTCTTAAACGTTAAACTTAATACCGTAGTTAATCCCATAAAAAGCTAGAATTATAAGAAATGCTAGTCATAAATATAGTGTACAACAAAATTATATTCTATAGTGCACATTGGTAGTACTAACACGTGCATTTGTACTGAGAAACAATTGTTATGAAGAATTATTTAAAATATTTGCTATTTCTCTGCTGCAAGGAAGCGATGGGAAAAATAATTTTGTTCAGTCAATACTGTGTATTTAAGAAATTCGTGTATATAAATATGATTCGTTTTATAATTATAAAAATGTAGGGTATATATTAATATGTACCAGTTATATACTTGAACATAAAGTCTGAAGCCGGAACGCCCTGTCAAAATCTCTTTCTACATTCCATCAACAACGTTAGAAAAGTAAAAATTTATGAATACAAATCTGTAAAAAAATTCACACAAGACTGTTATTGACTGTTAAATTTGTTAAAAGTATTTACATGTTATCGGAGGTTGATTTTTTTTTCATTATGTTTTGTTGAGCTAATGTGACATTCAACTCACTTCTATCTAATCCTACAAAAATTCACAGAACTGGTCAGAATTTTAAACTCAAATTTTCTACTAAAAATAGTATTGTTAGTCATAAGATTGTGATAGAGGTAGCGTAGGACTATTATTAGTGAGAAAAATATCACATTTTTCCTTAATATATTAAAAAACAAAGGATTCAGTATAATTTCTAGACCAATTTTAACTTCGGTCATGATTTACTGTAAGACGGATGAAAAAATCGCACTTTGAGAAATATATATATAAAATTTTCTCTAGCGAAGAATACCTGCTGTTTTAATAAATTTATATTGATTTTATATTGTAGTTCTACAGTTGAATTGGGACAGTGGTATGCAGTGAGATTAAGTCTTGTGTTCGGCTCTTCACAGAGTGATGCAAAGATGACTGTTCACCACGTAGAATTCGCATTCGAGGGTTATCTGCCAAGAAATTAAAATAAGTTAAATTAATAGTATAAAATTAACAAAGTAAATTTTACTACAAAAAAAATCCACGCGGGCCAGGACGGGCGGATGCACTTTCTAAGATCTTAACATTTAGCAGTTAAATGCTGGAAGATTTTCCTCCGAGCTAGGTGGTACTTATTGATCGCAGCGGCGGTAGCGCCCTCTCTTGAAGAGGCGAGTAATTAATTCCTCGATGTTGGTTATATGTGAGGCGTGTAGATGTCGATGTCAGCTCGGAGGAAGATCTTACCCTTTGGCCTTCATACAGTGCCAGATGAGCAGAGTTTGTGCACTTTGAAAACTATTTGACTTATTAATACTTATTATAAGCATATAACCTTAGATTAAAACAAAAAGGGAAGATACGGCACTCGCGGCTCAAAAGTGATCTGCTTAAATTTTGGTGCATGTCTACAATGTCACAATTGGACATTCAAAACACGTTGCATATAAATAAATATTGAAAACACTCACACCAATTAGCCTAGCCCCAAACTAAGCAGTATAAGGCTTGTGTTATGGGATACTAGGGTAACGGATAGAATACATATACTGTACATATATAAGTATATTCATATAGAAATACATATTAAACATCCATGACTGGAGTAGAAATGCTCGTATTCATCACACAAACGTCTGCCCCCGCCGGGATTCGAACCCGGGACCGGGGAGTCGGCGACACCATGGAACTCGGCGTTCAAACCACTCGGCCACGGAGGTCGTCAAAATAACAATATTGCGTATATTCTGTGTTATAAAGATAAAACAATGCCTTCGATAAGTTTGTAACTAACACAAGTAGTTCAAAATTATATAATAAATGCCTCGGCAACACTTCTCTTTCGCAAAACTGAAAAATCTTTTGTTTCTCAAAATTCATGGTGTGTCGACCATTTTGCTATCAAGAAAAGGACAACAATACAGCTAAGCCGTTTGCACTCGGAAGCTGATTCGCCGTTTCGCTCGCTCTGCGTTGAAGCGTACAGGTCTGTCTCGCTCGCTCGATTGAATGTTTTAAACAGACGTGTGCGTGTGTGAGAGTTGCTTATACCGGCCATACACACTACGAGAAATCGTTACGATCAGACTGTACAGTTCGAACGGTACCGATAAATCGTAGCGTGTATGTTATAAAACTGCACAGTTTTCTATACGTACGCCACGTCCGATAAACTGTTCTGTTCGAACTGTACAGTCTGATCGTAACGATTTCTCGTAGTGTGTATGGCTAGTATTATGTAGTTGAGTCGGATCATATTTTATTTGATGCTAGTATGAGCGTACCGTATCTTCCCTTCTTGTTTTAATGTAAGTATATAGCTAAATAAAGCATGACTCGGAAACACATTAACACATATTCGAGCTCATCACAGAAGTAAATTATACAAGCATAATATTTCAACCTGGCTTAGAATCCAGTACCGCTGGAACAGAAAGCAGGTCTTTATGGGTTCCTGTTACCCTTTGTCGGGAGCAAAGGACATCGACGAAATCGGCCTCAGCATGCCCAAAAGAATGTCTTTCACTATTATTTTTCTATATTTTTTTTTAACTTATTAGCAATTAATCATAGTAAACGGACAATCTGTTTATAAAAATAAAAATTCTGTAAGAGTTGAAATAGAGGTAAACACTAAATCTATTCAGAATATAAAAAAGTGTACATCGTTTACGATTAAGTATAATAATTATAACCTCAAAAAATCTAATACATTATGTAGTAGGCCAAATCAACAAATGCCTAATGAGAGTTTATGAAGGATTCCGGACACAACTAGCATTTTCTCATTGTTGTGCGTTCTAGGGCATTCAATGTATGGGGAACGAGCAATGTCCTTTCCTTCATCGGCAGGGCCATATTGCACACTATCCTCCCTAAAAATTCCTGTAATATAAAAAAGACGTTCTCTTCTCCCTAAAAAGAAGTGGGAAAATGGTAATGAACTCACTGTTGGCGGACTTCCTCCATCGGCGGGGCCATGTTGCACACTAATCTGACTCCGGTGAGCAGGGCAGACTTGAGAGGCGCGGGCATGGCGGGCCGCTCGGCCGTACGCTCAGCGAGTACGCGCAGCTCGCGGAACGTGTTGCGGGTGTACGGGTTCCGGCGCGACACGTACCGCCACGTCAGGAAATAGTAGTACACGAATGGGGTCAGAAGGCTGCAGTAGCCGCTGCGGTTGGAAATATATATTGTGTTCCATTAGTTGATTAGTTGTTTAGTATTACACGAAAGGGGTCAAGCGGCTACAGTAGCCGCTGCGGTTGGATAAATATATTGAGTTCCATTAATTGTTGTGGAAAATAGTTTAAGCTAAATAAAATCATTAAAAAAAAACTTTAATTTCAGTTTTCTGTACGGGGTGTAAATGGAAAATCCTATGAAACGGAAATGCATCACGAGCGTCACACAACTATGTGTGTCTGTGTGGAGGATTCGTGCGCAGTACCCTTAGCACGAATCAATATCAAATTCGTAACGTTTGCGAATCCGAAATGTCATTGTCAAATGTGTACTAATTTTATAAATTTCTCGTTCCATGAAAATGCGTTCTATAACATATCCAAGTACCAACACTTGGATATGTTATAGAACGCATTTTTATCACGCTCAATTGTTAATTTACTATGGTTTGACAGTAAGACGCGATAAAAAAAACGTCATATAATGTAAATTGTAGTGCTCATGCTAAAGGGACTGGATTATCTATCAACGGACAGTGCAAACTCACTGAACGGATGACGCTGAAATTTGGCACCCATTTATAGCTATTATCAAGTAAGCGTACCCTAAGAGAAAATTTTCCAAAACTCACGGCCTAAAGGGGTAAAACGAAGTTTCAAAGTTTGTATAGAAACACAATATTTCCACGCAGACGAAGTCGCAAGCACCCACCAGTATTTAAATAAAAAAACTAAAGATTAACTGATGCTAAAATAATTGTCACGAAAAGTACTAATTATTATAACTACAGAAGCTGTTGTTATTGGTCGTGGGTACATGTCCCATCTCCTTTGAATCGCATTATCTTCATCATCACCACAGCCTATTAATGTCCCCATTGCTGGGGCACAGGCCTTCCCCATGGATGGTATAGGCAGATTGGACCGTGACTACCACGCGGGTCCAGTACTGATTGGAGGGTGCTAACGACTGCAGTTGCAGCCGGGACCAACGGCTTAACGCGACTTGCGAAGTACGGAGAATCAAGATAAGTTTTAGTTCAACGATCGCAGCCGAACGCGTCAACCACTTGCGCAATAGAGAGAAAAACGTGCCGACTAATCACAAGGCCTACTTTACGGGCGTCAGAGGGGTGCGGGGCGTTATGCGACGGGGGGATAGTCGCGTGATGAACCACCAATCAGAAGGCGTACTTTTTAAGGGACGCGTGGGGGGTGCGCATTAAAGTGATCGCTGTGATTGGTGAACGGTCCCGGACAACCGGGGCAAAATTATTATATAAGACAAAACATTTGTAAGGCAAATTGTAGTCTGCCAGGAACAATCATCGTGTGAACAACTAGCAATAAGAATAAAGAAAGTAGTAAAGCAACCAGCGTTTTGAATCCAGAAACCTACATATAGTCCATACCAGGGATCCGAAGACTGAAGACTTTCGTCAATCTCATCACCTACATCTTGGTCCTTCGAGCCGGATCCATTTTCGAAAATCAAGGTCTTCGCACTATAGCATAAGGTAAAATGAACTCACGTCAACGCCATGATGACGACCAGCGGGAATAGCACGATCTCGGCGAGGGCGGCGGCGCGCAGGATGTTCCGCGACTGGAACTCCACCAGGGAGATCAGCAGCCGCGCCATCCACATCGAGTTTGAACCCAGCGTCTGTATGAATAGAGCCCCATTTCATAAAACACTTTTCATCATCATCAACAGCCTATACTGCCCTCCTAAGCACAATAGCGGTATCCCAATGAAAGCTAGTTTAGAGATAATTGTCGTTATATAAAATTCGTTTTCTCGTAAATTTGTATATTGTTATGTTTGTTATGTAATTTATATATAATATTTGGTATGTTTGGCGGTATTAAAATATACGGCTGGTTTCCTACGTTGTATTGATATTCCTCTAATATCCTTAGTAAACTAAGGTAGAAGTGGGATAGAGAAATCTTTCTTAACGTTTTTTTACACCTTTTAAATAGCATACCGCTTTAAGGCTTAGTTGCGTATTCTTCTAAGCTATCCGATACCATTCAAATCATTTTTTTGTTTTTTTTTTGAGAGACCGCTTTTGCGCTTAGTAGGGCAGTATATTAGTCTACTAGTTGCTAACTACTGCTGGACGTAAGTTGGGTTACCATCTGTGCGGATTAGTCCGGAGTTTGTCTGGCTCTTTAATTAGTCCAGATTTATATTTGTTATTTTTCAAGCATGTAACGACTAGATGTTTAAATATAAAGAATATTTTACTCGAAAAAAACCAGGAAGAGGACGGGACTCGAATCCACACCCTTCGCTATCCGCGTGAATGCACTGCCCATTATGCTACCGCGGTCCTGACGCTGCCATGCAGCTTAAGAAAGGCTAGAGAAAATTCGACACGGCCGTCAGGACTGCGGTAGCATAATGGCCAGTGCATTCGCCCGGATAGCGAAGGGTGCGGGTTCGAGTCCAGACTGCAGCCTGGACTGCATGGATTTTTTTCTGTTAAAATTTTCTTTAGATTTAGTTCTGATTTTTTTAATTGCCTGTATTTTGATGTGGGCTCTAATAACTGTAACACAGTCCTAGACTGCTACGGTTGTTAACGCTAAATTGTTATTTCGTATACTTGTCATGGTTTCACAAATAACGATTATTTATAAAACTAGTTATTACGGGTACCTACGGGTTAATGCACTAAATTTATTTATTTATTGACGTTCGCAGCCTTTTCAGGTCTGCATCGTCAGAATAATGACGATGCAGACCTGAAAAGGCTGCGATTTTTATCGAGTTTTATTTAATGAGTGATGTGCGTGAAAATCTAAGAAACAAATAAGTTTATTTAATATTATAATTAAATGGAAATTAATTATGAGTATTAAAACCACTTGCTAAGTAATGGCAGACGCATTCCTACTACACTGCGGTAACTAAGTGAGTAGTGTTTCCATTTCGTGCTCAAAGTCCGGACATTTATAGAAATATTTGTCAGGACTTTTCAAATCCTAAATGGTATGTAACCCTAGACTACGACAACGGCTAACTAGAGCCGAGCCTGAGATTTGTACTCAGAGACGCCTTCTACAACGCACCTCTGTTTCCCCCAACACATCTTAATTTTTACTTTTGCGCAATAACGGTCACTGCTACAGTTTCGTGCTGCGACTTATAAGCATCTCGCGCTCTACCCCGCTGCGGCTTGACATAATATGCGCGAACCTTAATGGCACACTACCTTTCTCCAAATCTTTCGTGGCGTCACGGTAGGATGGTATTAAATAGCCACTCAACAAAAAACTGTACATTCTAACATCAAATAAGTTGCTATTTCACTATAAAGACCGAATAGTTCGCAAGTTTTATTCATATTCATTATATCTTATAAGGTTTTATAAAATAGGTAGAAGGAACTTATTATGTACATGGGAGAGAAGAGTTATTTATTAAGTCAGAAACTGACTAAAACAGCAAATTACAATCAAAATATGGAAGAAAATCGTTTTAAAAAAATGAAGTAAATCAATTAATTGTTTAATTTGTCTTCTTTTAACCGACTTCATAAAAGGAGAAGTTTTTAATTCGTTAGATGTCATGCCTGCTTGATAGATCTGAGTTTCTATTTACTACTTGGGCTGGCGTGGCATCGACACCAAATATTAATTTGACTTAAAAGGTAACTTTAGACTTAAGAGCCCTTTTACAAAATTGCGCGGCTGCCGGCCGTACTGATCAGCGCGTAGGTAGATTTGCACTAGTATATATTGCATTTAACGGGTGATGTTTCGAGTCTTATAAAATAATTATTAATAAACTAATTATAAAAATATATACATATTTCAGTAGTTCAATGATGGTAGATTAGTTTTATGAAAGTTTTTGATAGTAATTCTATTTAATTCAATATCAAAATACGAGGTAAAAAACCTGCATTATTTTTTGGGAAAACTCACGGATGCTAGATGTTTTTTTTGATTAATAATGAGATGGAAAATCAAAACTCTAATACATTATGTTACAACAAAAACATATTTCTGATGTAGTAGTAATTAATTTGATCTAATTTATTGAAAATTATTGAGAGATTGAGGCGTCTGGAGCTGTGCATATTATCGTTTTTTCCGTAAACTAGCTGCAGTAGAACGATCAGTACAAAAAAAGAAAAACAGTATTTGCAAATATTCTAAGTAAGTAAATACTTACAAAAGGAAGAATAAATCTACTGTTTACTTCTATTGGAAATAGTCAAAATCTTTCCTAAAGCGGTTAACGAGGCGCTCAAAAATTACGAATTTTTGCAAAGAATGTGAACGGGCTCTTAAGTAAAGAACATGTAAAATTAGAAAATTTTACTAGAAAAAAATCCACGCGGACCAGGCAGCAGAGGGGACTCGAACCCGCACCCTATGCAATCCGGGCGAATGCACCGACCACTATGCTACCGCGGCCCTGATGGCCGTGTCGAATTTTCTCTAGCCTTAGGCTGCAAGGCAGCGCCATCTCGTCGCATTGTAGGTAACCAACAAAGTCAAATGAATACCTTTACAAGTATGAGACATTTGAAAGAAGAAATAGCAATTATAGTTATATTATTTTTTAAGCATTTAACGACTAGATCTTTAAATCTGTACGGGGAGCCCGTAACATAAAAACTGATAAAACTGATGAAATAATGAAACTGTAAATAATTTTGAAACTGAATTATATTTGATTTACTATAAACTGATTAAACTAATGAGAACGCGTGGTATGATTGATGACGGAATGCGAACTGAACGATGCAAAATAAATTATGAATTATACGTAAATTAGGTTATTAAAGAAACGCTGCGTCGGCAATGTACGCGCTTGCTCGTACATATTCCCGGGCAAGAAAGAATGAGATTAGTATGGGAAGCTGAATGAGAACTAAGACTAACAAGTTGAAATAATTTTGCTTAAAATAAATGAGAACCCCAATTATTATTATGATTACGATTAACAAGATGATTGGCATTTTTTTTAACATCTGATTGGAGTTCACAAATTCATCCGGAACGCGAAACTCCGGTCTAAATACTATGGGGGACGACCCCGCGTCTCGCACAGACACTCACGCTAGGCTTTTTAGCGAAAACACTTTTGCCTTTCAAAGATGCACGCACACTTTTATTTGCTTTTTGATAGTGAGCACTACACTGATTACTAATCACTTCACTACACTGATCACTGCTGGCTGAAGTAGCCGGCGCAGGTGGCGTTGTAGGAAACACAACGGCAGGCGCCTCGCGCAGACGCGGCGTGGGCTTCGGCCCTACCGCTCTCCGTCTGCATCGCCTCCCGACCCACAGCAATGCGCCGAGGCCCAGGATAGCGAATAAAATATATATCGCTACATAATGATGCACAACGTGTGTTGACACTCTATCTGATATGGGTTCCACGTTCTTTAATTTTTTTATGTTTCTCTCTAACTCTTGGAGCTGTGCAGTACGGTTAAAAGAATCAAAGTTATATTTCTGTTGGTTTGCGTCCGGTTCCGGGAGAGTAATATTAATGATGTGATTTATCTGGGAGAGCTCTGGAATCGGTATGCTTGACCTCAAACTAATCCGATCCTCACTTTGTCCATGTGAATAAATAAGGGCATGAGCAGTTTTAATAGTGCAACCTTGATCTATATTAAAAAACCGGCGTTGCTTATTTGCAGCGGTGTAATTTGATCGGCGCATATAATTTTCAATGGGCACTTATCGCAACAAAAATAGAAATAATTATTTAATTTGTTTAGCTCGACCCATCTGTTCCTGCATGGCCTTCGAGCAGTTTTACACTCTCGAAGTGAAGGTGAAGTTTCACAGAAATTCTGATTATCTTTTATTACTAATATAGGTGTGTGTAGGTGACATAGTGTTATATGAGAGGTTCTATGAATACACGAATTTAATTCCATCTTTGTTATTTTGATAAAGGATTCATGTTTAAGATTGACAGCGACATACTCTGATACTGGCACGACTGATATCTCCTTGTTGTCCTCAATAAGGCGAGGTATGGGTATAAGTTTTAAAATTTCATAAATTTCTACGCCAATGAGAGGGATCTTGATTTCAAATATAATAAATCTGCTTGTGACTCTAGCTTTGACTTGAAGTAAATTATAGATATCTGTTATACGGTCAAGTTTTTTGATAGGCAGGGTCAACTCTTTGGGTAATTGTTCTGATATAACTCCTAGCTCGCGTTTTAGCTGATCGGGCGGTATTAAATGAAAGTTGAAACGTCCATTATAGATATTCGTAACTGCATCAAGAAGGGTTTGCTGAATATTTCTTAAACTGAATAATATATTGTTAGTTATCATAGCCGTTGAAAGGAAGTCATTAAGTAAAGAGGCGTTTTGAAGCTCAGTTTTTGCTTGATTGATTGCTTGTTCCAATGAGTTAATCTTCTTGTGAATGAGCTTGTGTTGCTTATCCATAACCAATTCTGTACGCTTAAGTATGTTAAGCTCCGCTTCGACTATGGATGTTTGGTTTTTCCATAAGGAAGCCAAATGATGTTCATTTTCTCTGATTAACTGAATATCCCGTTCATACTTTTCTGCGAAATTATTATCTAATATTCCGAAGAGGCTGTTTCCCCGGCGACGACGTTTGTGTACATGATGTGTAATTAATAAATCATTATAATATTTAAGT